AAAAATAAAAACTGCCCTCTATGTCATCAAAATATATTTGCAATACTTAAATGACAGCAGATGTTGACTTATTAGCTGACACCAAGCAAAACTGCTGTTTTGAAGTTTCACCTTCAGCCCATGCCAAATCATTTAATAAATCTGTAAGTCATCCAAAAGTACAATTAAATATTCATAAGCATGGAAATTTAAAACCTTCAAATATATTTCTAAAAGAGCAAAATGTTTTAGCTTAAAGGTTACATACTAATGACGGAAAAAGACCGATCAACCTTCGACTTTACTGGAAAAAGAGCATGTCCTGATGATCAATATAAAAGGGTGTAAATTTTAAAGTTGCTTGAATAATTTGTACCTTGTTGCATAAGTTTGATCTGTGTTTTCAAAGCTTCAACTTTGAACAAAGCCTATAATTTGTGTATTATAATAATCCATCAAAGCTTTTTAGGCCACAGCTTTGTGTACCCATCATTATTAGCTGTGGAAGACTTGGGCTTTGACAATTACCCCATTTACACTACCCTCGAAAAACCATCCCGAGCCGGTCCAAGCTCAGTAACTGAGATAACTTATTGTAGGTAAATGGAAAGCAAACTGAACTGAACCGAGCTGCATATCCCGATTCACACTCCATTCCAGTAGTTGGCGGTAATGCCCCTCCGGAAGTTGCTTGCCAACCAACACAAACAGAAGAAGAAGAATAACTATAAAAAAACAATCAAAATCATCTTCTTGTGTTTTATGGTAGTTGGCAAACAACTTTTGGTGTATTACCGCCACCAACTGCTTGATTTCCTCTTCAATACTGGCAGTAATACCGCAGATCGTCACTAGGAGGCAAGGAGTCGAGGAACCGAGATAGCGTGATGTGTAAACGGTCATCAGAACCGAGCTCGGCCTGGTTAACTGATCCGAGCTTGGACCGGTCTCGGCATGGATCGGTTTTTCAAGGGTAGTAAAAATGGGGTAAATGATTTGTCCATGGTTTCTGTGAAATAACCTCATCTACCCCATTTATAGATATACACTAGATATATATGTTTTTTGTTGTTTTTTTTGTCTGCGATCTTCTCCTTAATATTGGCTTACAGAGCAAATATATGTCTTCAAATGCCTTTAAAGAAACTAGAGGCAAGATGAGAAAATGAGACTCAAGAGTGACACGCTTGGGGCAACTGCAGCAACAAGCCGAGTCGGCATGGGAGCACACAAAGACATTTCACTGACAGGCCGCATTCACAGCACTGCACTGGTGATGATGTAACGTTAAATACGAGATGGTTTACTACAAGACCATCACACATTTTATTACGGCAACCAGCATCATGTCAGGCAAAAAAGTAACTATTTACTTCAGTCTAAATTTCATGTTAGCTTCAATCTATTTTTTATGCAACGAAGCCTAGTAAAGCAAAAAACCTAATGTTAAAAAATAAAAATAAAAACCTTTAGTATGTGGCAACAGCAAGCTGCAAGCGTAATATAACCGCCAACACGTTGGGCTTTTAATCCCTCTATACCAGTGGTGATTTCTCATTGAATACTTGGGTAACTAAACTTCCCCTGTAAGTTTCGTAAAAATATTGGTGAAATTAGCATAATCAAACTTCATAAATGTGCTCCTTAACCTGCCTTAAATTTGGCTAAAATGCGACTGATTTAATGAGTATGTTGCACATTAATCTGCTGTTGAGTCCGCTCTCCCCTCTGCTCTGGAGCTGCAGGACGCTGCCTATCAGTTTAAAGCCTCTTTCCCGTTGAAAATACCAGGTTAACGAGTGTTTTTTAAACAAAGGTTGACCCGGTAACAATAAGCATGTAGCTCCCTTCCTGCTGCGTTGCCTCTGTCCCCCTATCACTGCATGTCTGGTGATGCCATCACGCTGGGTTAGCGTTGATGCTAACTGTCATCAGTGTGACAGAAATCAGGAAAGTAATCAATGGAGAGTAACACCTAAGGAAGCCAGGGAGTAGGAAGTGTGCTTTATAGTTTTGCTCTATTATCTGTCTGAATCCCTCTCACCAGTGCTGCGTCATATTTATAGAATGCAAGCAGAGTTGTTTCAGGTTGTTAGATCAGACGCAACTGGCACAGTGTGTTTAAGTCCTTACTTTGCACTCAATAGCTTCACGTAAATTAGCGGGTCAACCTAGTTGATCAGTGATTTTAACACAGGCCGCTTGCCAAGTCTTTGGATTCCAGTAGAAACGCATCAGAGAACTCTTCCCACTCCTGCTAAAAGCTGATTGTTTCCAGGTTTAAACAGGATTTTTGGTCCGTGGAAAAGGGGTATTAGTGGAATTTTCTCAAAATTCCTGCCCTTATTTAAGCAGGGTACCCACACCTTGGTTATTATGAAATTCAAATATTATCAAGGACTTTCAAGGAGCAACTTTTTTAAAGTCAAGGACCACGTGCGACACCATTTACCTCCTGGTACTCCTGAAAGTGTAATTGTAGCTATGTTTACATGGAAATAAGCTATTGAAATAATCAGTCAATTGGACTGAAATGCATCATTAAACATTCCAGCCAGAATATTCAGATCAGATTCTGTATTTTCTCACCTACCATGACTTGAATATCAACTTCAGTAGTATCTCATTCTCGATTCACAGGGTCCAATATGACATTGGTGCACCCTTTACAGCAACAAGTGCTTCAACTCCTCTGGGTTGGTTTAAAGGAATCTTGACTTTTGGCAATTCTTTCATGAGCACATTTGTGAGATCATAACTGGGATGAGAATGTCTGCCTCTCACTCAATATTCTAATTAATTCCAAAGGCGCTCTATTGGGTTCAGGTCAGGAATCTGTGCAGGCCATTCAAGCATATCCACACCAAACTCTCTCATCCATGTCTAATGAACCTTGCTTTATGCACCTCCTTGTCCAGCACCATTATGTTCGAAGAGGAAGGGGCTGTGTCCAAATTGTGTATGCAATTAGGGTAATGTCTAGAGATGTCCTTTTTGTAAAGCAAAGCCTCCCTGGCAATTGTAGGCAACCAACTGAAATGCATGGAATGGGAAGAAACCAACTAAATGAAGAAAATGCTCAGCTACAGTGATGCAGCAGAGACTGAAACGGTAATGCCGTCACATATTATATTTATCTTGGCTGGTTGTGTCATTTTTGCTTTGATTTTGTGTTGTTTAAAATTGTGGGGATGGCTCTTCCAGGGAAAGACCTTTCAGGTGGGATATTAAATACAAAGGGCACCTCCATTGAACAAAAGCCCAGACTTTCAACAATTCTCAATGGTGGAAGATCTTCAAAGTTCAAATTAAATTAACTTTCTTGCTTGAGCTCAATTGGCTTTATGTCTGCTGCAGTGGATCATATTGGTGATGTGCAAAACAACAATCATGTTTGTGACATTTCAGAGTATTTCCTTTTCTCTTTCCACAGCTCAGCTTAACTGTGGCTTTTATCCAAGTAAGTGGCCCTTTGGTGCAAAGGGAACAGGAACATATAGAAGCCTTTGCAAATGTCACAAACCATTTGAGCGCCATATTCTCTGTTCTTCCGTATAGACATAAACAAAAACATGCTTTTAAAAATACATTTAACCACCTCCCATGGTGAGAAATGTTGTAAAATGTTGGGGTATGTACAACAAAAGCCCAAATCGTTCTTAAACAATCCAAAGGTATAAAAAAATAAGACAATCAAATATGGCAAGATCTGGATGATGGTTTTGTTTGAAAAGTACAATCCGAACCATAACCCAGGATCAACTGTGATCTCTGCTAGATAATACACCCTTTTTCTCAAGGTGCTCTGGGCAGCAGAGACAGAGTGAAAATCAAAAACAAATGAGGCCATGGATTCCCAAAAGATTGTAGCAGTCTCAAGGAGCATACTCTAAGTTAAATGCATTTTTTTCCTAAACTTAAAAAACATATTTTTTTATTAGAAGGTAAAAGCTCTCTAGCAAATACATTATCCAAAATCTTGAGAGATAAAAGAGAATTTACACCCAAGCACAAAATTATTTTGGATAGGTTACACCTATTTTGGGTTGCTGTATTGTCTCATTGCCATTAGGAGGATTTCTGTTTTAAAAGTAAAGCACTATAGGCCTGTATTTTTCACAATACAAACTGTTTTCTAATATTGCTTTAGTGTCTCGTAAGTGTCCCATTTGATGTGCTATAAAGACACTTGAGATATTCATGAGATAAAGAAGAACCACGGCTGGAATATATCCAACGTCACACAGACCTACATTCCACTGATAAATATGCAATTAAAACTTTACTTTAATCTAAAAAAATAACCAGTTTCTTGCAGCTTTCGTCTTCAGACAGCATGACACACTAAGTGAGCGAAGAAGCATAGTTTTTCCTCCTCTTTTGTGCTTTACATTGCCCTTTAAAACACCATAATGCTGCGTGAGTACCATTCAGCAAAACGCTCAGCCTTAATGGGTTGCCTCTTTGCAGGTTGCCACAGTGATTTTGTTTCTCACAAGAGCAGATGAGACTCAGCTCGGGCTCGACATATTTCTTCTTCTTTAAAGCCAAGAAATATACAGTATAGGCTAATATCCAATGCTGAACCTGGAGCCAAACTTTAACATCTGTTAGGGAAGTACAAAAAAAAAAAACTGAAAAGACTAGACAGTATGGAGTAATCCTACGCAGAAGCATGTAAGAAAGCAAGAAATTAAAAAACTATTATGAATAAACCAAACCAAAGGGTAGAAATGAAGCATTGGAAGAACTCACTGATTTTCTTTGAGGTGACAACTTAGAAAAAGGCTTCCTCAGAGCCAAAAATGATTAAGATGACTACAGCACAATAGCTTTTGATTATGTAGAATTGAAATAATTGCATATTTAATGTCTTTAACAGAAGGAACAGTCAAGTATGTTGGATTACATGGAAGGATATTGCTATCATCTCTACTTTGTAAAACTTTGTATTTTAAATTTTAAAACTAAAAAGAATGCATCAAATAATCTATAGTCTTTAATGTGGGATTTAGACTCACATCAAGCACAGGCTGCAGGACTTCAGTCAGCTCTCTTCTGGCATCCAGTGAAACAGCCACGGATGCAAACGGACGACTGGCCATCTGCTGACGCTCTCTCATTAACTGCTGTAACAACAAACACAGAAGACATGTGAACAAAACTGAGTAAATCTGCTATTAACCAGTTGATAGATATTTAGTGTCATTATTAAACCAAACCATTAGATTTACAAGAACATGGCTTTAAAAACAGAGCTTCAGTTAATACAGCTAGAAACCTCCAATCTGGGTGTAGTTATGGACATAGACCTAAACCTTTAAAGACACATGAAGGCAGTAACAAATGTGGCTTTTAATCACTTAAAGAACATCTAAAAATTAAAGGACTACTGTCCAAGCAGGACATACAAAACTAATTAATGTGTTCATTTTTAGTAGAATTGATTACAGCGATGGGGTCTTCCTGGCCTGCCTAAAAACTTAATCAGACAGCTACAGGTGATCCAGAATGCTGCTGCTGTGTCCTCACTAAAACTAAGAAAATGAAGCACATCAGGACTGGGGCTTCCCGTTTCTCAAAAAAATTACTTTAAAATACTTCTGTTAGTCTATAAGTCATTGAATTGTTTAGCACCAAATTATATTACAGACTTGCTATCAGTGCATCAAGATCCCGGACCGTTCAGGTATTCTGGCTAAAGTCTACTGTTTATACCCAGAGCTACACATAGAGAAGGAGAGTTTAGTTCCTGTGCTCCACTAATCTGGAACAAACTCCCTACAAAAGAGCTGAAACCCTCAGTTGCATTAAGTCATGTTTAAAAGCATATTTGTTTAGAGTCTCCTTTTACTGCGCTAGCTAAACAAGATTAATTTAGACTCAAACTTTTCTTTCAATTGTTATCTTTTTTAATACTATCATCTAATTTTAATTATTCACTTTTATTCTCTTCAATTATTTGTGTTTTTTCTTCCTCATGTACAGAACTTTAAATTGTCGTGCCACAGAAACGTGCAATATAAATAAACTTCCTTTGCCTAAGAATTACTACAAAGACTACAATAAACATATTGCAGTTTGTACAACAGTCTGTTTTAAAATAAAGGATTTGGAAGTTATGTAAATTTGAAAGCCATTTATGTTTAATGTCTATAATTTCAAACCTCAGTGTAGCCACCAAATTACCAGCACTGCACTGGAAAGTTTTAAATTTTTTTCCTGCAGATTTTTCTTCATCTTCAGTATAAATAATAAAACAACTTAAATAGATGTGCACTTTTTTTTTTTTTTGCTCCGAGGTGCTTTATAGTTTCCTTCACACAATGTTCTCCTTGAAGTTGAAATGACCCTCGCAATTCTTGTTTCAGGACCCCCAACCTTTAACACTCAGAGCATAATTTGGTATTCATTAGTCTGGTTATTAATTAGCAGATATTATTAGAGGCCTGAGAGGTTGACATGGAAAAAATGAATGAGTGAGAAAGTGACAATTTGAATCAGTGTCTAGGTGTTTATCAAGGACAAACGGTGAAGAGACAAAGTCAGGATACTTTAACCAGACTTTTTACGATGAAGTTCTTATGTAGCAGCCATAACTTACAGAGCTCATGATTTTATATTAGAATATAGATTTGTATTCTATTATTTACAGTTGAACTCCCACAAAGATACATTTTTATTTATCAACTAAACTTTGAAATTACAACGATACTTAAGAAATATATTTATATTTCTCATATTTTGCATTTCTATTAAAACACAGCAATATTCTTCAAGCAATGGTGTTCAGTGGCTTGTAGGGTTTTAATGACTGATGAACTTTACCTTCCCATGGGTTTATAGGCCACCTAAGGTTTCTAAAGTAAGAATTTTGGCCTTATCGAATTTAAAAGATTAAGCACAAACTGGAGTTTGGACTTTTCTTTTCGCGATAAATCTAAACCAGTTTCACTCGAATGAACTGTTAAGATTCTACTTGTTTAGGTGTATCAAAATGCCCTGTATCTCTACACTTTATGGTCTTTTACAGTTCTAATGTGCCATCAAATACATATGAAAGCTTTTCAGAGACCCCACTCAATTCTGGGTAGATGTATTGGTACACACTGAATGAGGGAAAAGCAATGCTGCTTTGTTCAGTCTGAAAACCTTCCCTCAGGGAGGTAGTGTTTGTGGGGGGGGAAACATAACAGCACCCACATTAAATTGACATTGATCACCTGATTGATTTTTCCTTTTTTTAAACTTTATATCTGATGCCCGATGTTAAATTGTTGTACATCTCTGCCATTAAACATCAAACCGGCAATACAAAACCGATGGATTTGAGCTGCTGGGTCAAAATGGGTCAAAATGAAAAGTGTTGCCCTTTTCGAAAAAGATAAACGCAGGATGGGGGGCCTGGCGAGGTTGTTTCAAAACAAGAAAACAGCTCAAGGCTTATTACGGTTTCCAGCACAAAAAGCTTCAAATCCAACAACATTCATCCTAAATGTCAGATAACAGTAATGTTATTTATCATGCTGCAGAATTCATTTAAAAGCAGCAAAGCACAAGATGGGAGCAAGAGCAAATCTAGCACCTGCCATCCAAAGTATGCCAAGAAAGCAACCATTAAAAAAGGACCAGAACAATACATGAGAGACTCTAGAAATGAATGCTAATTTAATGACAAAAGGCAAGGCTGAACTCTGTAAAACCAATTAACGTTTATGCAATGACAGACTGATTTTGTCTAGAGTACAAGCTGGAGCCATTCAGAGTTTTGATAAGGGTGGGCATGCAGCACATTGCCATGCTACTTGATTAATTTGGCAACTGAGGGCATGAATTATCTGTTGAGTGAATACAACATTTCGTTCCCCTCATTGAATTGTATGAAGGGGTGGGTGTCATCCTGCCTCTGAGCATATTTCACACAGATCCAGGTCACACTGTCCCCTTCAAAGATCACCGGTTATACCCAGAGGCCGGTTCCTTAAAAGTCAAACAATACATAAACATGCAATCAAATATACAACCTCCCAGCCCTGTACCAAAGCTCCTTACCTCATAACAAATTTGCTTTAGAATATTTACACCATGCTTATTGGACAGTCTAAACACATCCTGTGATTAATGGACCAAAGATAACCATATGAAGATATTCAGTGGTGTCTAGCTACACTTCCCAAATCTGATATAACGCTGGAAGGGCGGAGGTGTTCTGTGTGGGCTAAGATACCAAACACCAGAACAGAATAATAATTAACTCAAATAGAAACTGGATAGATAATAGCAAAACATTTTCCTTGAAGTCAACTTGAAAATCACCCCAGAAATTGCTAAATATCTTGAAAATCAAATGCTAAATTTGACCAAAACTAACTAGAGGTGAGCAAACTTAACTCTTTATTAAAGGCTTAAGAGTGAGGTGATCATATTTGGATCATAATTGTCCATTTCTTCAACAGTCTTAGGGACTTTTAAATCTGAAATAAAAGAAAAAAAAAAAAGCAAAAACTTCCTCTGGAAACTGACAAACTATTTGATTTTCTTAAAATAAAAATGAAAAAAAAAATAACAAATTTTATTAAAAATAGTAAATGTGTTAAAATGTTGTAAAGACAAGCTTGCATCACTTTTGTGTTAGTCACTCACATAACCTACAACCTGATGTAAAAAATCATTAATTTTAAAAAGGGTGCTACAATTACTCTCGTGAGACCATCCTGATCTTGCGAGCTTTCAAG